ATTGATTATTTAAATGGGTTGGCCCCTTATTATTAAGTAAGAGTTTAAATGACAAAATTGTCCTCTTCTTTAATGTAAGGGTATACAAATTATTATTTTTTAAATAATGATATTCAAACTTCATTTTTAATCTCTTACACTTTGTGTGAGAATCTAAAAGATAATAAATAGATTGTGAGAAACTTAAGGTGGAGTGGTAAAATCATTGCTCATGTTCAAAGAAATTATTTTTTCAATTGTGACTTTGTGCAATGTTATTTATTTATTTTTTATTTGTTTGGGAATTCACACTTCTCTCATAAAGGTATAGAAAGATCAACATTTTCCTATAAGAGATAAGTGCACGACATTAACAGCATCATTATCTTTTTTCCAAATGATAAGTAACCCTAACCCACTAATCTAATGCCTCAAGCACTAAATTTCTAACTTCTTCAAGTTAAAGCTGGTTCGAGGGTAGAGTAGACTTCTAGGTGGTTTTTCTTTTGAGTAGATGTTCATCTTTGGATCCGGCAATAACATAGTTATTTGAATAATGAATACCACTAAACCAACAAGTGGTAGAATATATAGGTCCCTATGTGAAATTTGTTAGATACTTTGCCAAAAAAATATATATTTATTAAGTCCTAAGTTTTTGGTTATGGATAAGCATAAAGGGAGGCATCATAGCCTCCAATGGTAGGGGCAACATTGTCTTTTAACAAAAACGAGGTACCCTAATTGTTAAGAAAGAGGGGTGCCCCAATGACTACCTTACATTGTTAATTAACTAAAATATAAACAAATACTAGTAAATGGGGTGGGTTGGAAAGTAGCATGTTGCTTCTTGTTGTGACCCATCATCAACTTGCTTTAATTTAATCACCAAGAAAAAAAAGGCAAGAAAGTCTTACCTTTTCTTGTTTATTTTATTTAATAACTTCTTCCAATCAAAGCATGTTGGAGATTTTGCTCTGCCAGCTCACCCAAGAAAGATAACCATAAACTAAACTACAAAAAGGTTTAATTGAGACAGGGTCATCCATTGTAGATATGCATGCAGTCTTGTAGTGAAAGTACTTTTCTTGTTTATTTCTTTTTTGTGAACATTACTACATGTGGTTTCTTGGGGCATTAAGTGGTTTAGTTGGTCAACTTACAAGGACTAAAAAAGAAAAATGTCACTTGTTTGTACTTTCACTATACTTTTGTTTGGAGAAAAAAAGAAAAAACAAAACAAAACAAAATAAAATAAAAAAAACAAAACTTTGCTAGCTAATTGGCATATGGAAATCTTGTGTCAATTTTTCTAACCAACATAATTATTCGGTGCAAGGGAAAAAAATCAATACAACAATGATACTACTTAATTATTGACATGTAAATTGTCTAATAACCTCTCACCATGTAAGCCACTATGTATATGTGGCCGTTAGTGAATCATTTTGAAATTGGTAGTTATCACTGACATGTGAAATTACTATCCGATAACACATCATCATGCAGGCCACTATGTATGTGTGACAATTATTGAACAATCTTTAAATAGGTAATAATATCTACATAGTGGGATTCACTATACCATATAAAATTTTATTATTAGTTGGTAATACCATATATTAATGATAATGTGGTATAATTATCAGTTCTCTTATAGGTTGAGTATTTGATAGGAGATATTTTTTTAGTAAATACCCATGCACGTTAACATAGTACTAATCAATTAGAGCACTAGTCATTGATAGATGAAGTTAACTTGACCTACCTTAGTCAATGAATAATAAGAGATAAGGTCGATCTCATCTATTCGTTTTTTGCACAACTTCATTAGTCAACAACACTATATATGCATATCATGGTGGTACTTCGAAATTATCAAATAATCTACCTTTGGCTAGGCCTTGATTGTATATGGTCAGGCCAATTTGCATGAGAGACAAATTGAGTTCTCAACATTGATCCCTATAGGGGACAAATCTTATACCTTGTCCTACATTGTTCTGCTCAAACCATCATATGCCTTACATATGAGAGGAAGGTGATGTGAAATTTCACACATTGGCCTATTATTCAAAGTTGTTGTTCAAGGTCATCACCATGACCAATCATAATCTCAGAGGTTTTGTGTTCAAATTTTCAGCTCATCTCGGCACTTGTGATTAGGGTTGTAAAACGAGTCAAGTCATTGGAATTCAACTTGTGTTTGATTTATTAAAAATCAATAAATAACTTGAACAAATTTGAAATTAAGTTTTCAAATTGAACTTTAAACAATTAAATAGACATCATCAAAAAGGTAAGCAACTTGAGCGGCCCGATTAAAACTCATTTTAGTTCAACTATAAACAAACCAAGTATAAACACATTTTGAAACTCGTTATGTTTTTCAAATCATACTTTAGCAATCTATTACTCAGCTTGATTTAGGTCGTTTATAATCTTACTTGTGACTTGTGGGCTGTAAGTATTTGATAGTTTACTTTGCAGTGACGGATCCCAAGTGACTTGACCTTAAAGGGTTCCTTGTTAAAAAAAAAAAAATACATAACATCTTTATATGCCATGACCATTATTGAGGTATTAATTAAACTAATTTATAGGATCCGCATCATTTTAAGGAAAATCCCAACTCAACAACTGTATCAAAAGTGAAAGCACATTACCTAACTAAATGGGAAGAAAAAAATCATAATATTCATCAAATAAATGTTCTGTTGGAAGAACAACATTGTCTGTACTGTTTTTTTTTTTTTTTTTTTTTTTGTTAAATATAAATTTGCTAACTTTACGGTTAATCAAAGTCGTCTTCTCAAATCCACTAGCCAATTTAGAATTCCTATGAAGAAAATTGCTGGATTTGTAATGATTAATTAGTTGATTCTATACAAATTGTGTATATAAACACACACTTGGTTTTTATAATATGAAAATTGTTATAGTTACTACATTGTTTGATGCACATTTCATTATATTAATCCAAGCTAGAACAAAACAAACATATAAACATATAAAAAGATTATGTGGTTTTATTGTACGCCCATGTTCACAGATGAAGAATGATGAAAGAGATTTATTACGAAAGTAGAGATTATAATGAGCTGGCTTTCTCTCAACGACCCTATATTATAGAAACTCTCATTATCATAAATCTTAGAACTCTAAAATAACTCCTTAAATACAAAGATCCGAAAAGTAGAAAAACGAGTTAGAATAAATCCAAATTACAAGTGTTGGGTTAGATCATTTACCCAATAATCAGGTTGTGCGAATAACCAACAAATAGTAAGTATGATACAAGAAGCACAATCACAAATGGGTTTCAGAGTAACCATGTGACATATGAGTGAGACAATACTGAGTAATAAGAGATAACTCAATTAATATACTTTACGCTTCCTCATTTATTATTAATGTTACGTAAATAATGTCATACGTTACTCCAAGACTATCTAATATTTTTTTACTCAGAATAAACTATTGTGCATATATATATATATATATAAAACTAGACTAGAAAAACAAAGCTAGAACCAGCTGGTCAACTCAATATAAAGTTTCTTCATTAATAAAATAATTATTTTTTCCCTTTATTCTTGCTTAGAAACAAATGATGTAATAAATTTCTATGCCCTTAGCAAATGGCACATAATACAATAATCAAAATAATAATAATCTACCAATATATTATTAAAGGCCAACAATCTTGAAAGATTCTTGAGAATTGTCTTATTAATTTCTTAAGTTCCATTTGCATTGATAATGATGCAAATGAAAATAAAGATTGAAAGAAACATTTCAAACTTACCAAACAAGCCTAGTTTTTTTGGTTTGTCCTCCAAGTCCAGTTGGTCTACTTAATTAAATTGACAACTATTTGGATTCACATTGAATAGAAGAATTTGATTAAAAGTTACTTTAAACAAAAGTCTTAACAACTTTAGTAAGCTAACATTTCCATGTTTAGATTGTAGAAAAGGGTGACATGGGTAACAACATGGATGACGTCCACACACACCCCCCAAAAAAAAAAAAAAAAAAAAAAAAAGAGTAGAAGAAGCAACCTTCTCCCATCACTGCAAGGTCTGAGAAGAATTAACGCACATGATTTTATTCTTACATGCAAAGAAATTATTTTTGTATTTCAAAATCATGACGTGTTGGGATAGTGTTAATCCTTATAAGTATTGAATATTAATGACTCGACCGTGGATCCAATTATGTATGAGAGACCCTTGTCCAAAGGAGGGGTTCGAAGGGCCAGGCCCAGATCTAAATTTTAGAGTAAAGATATTTCTACTATTATCTCATTTGTGAGCTATTATATTATTTTTATTTTTTATTTATATGCATGTATTCATAGTTGAGGGAGGTAATTATCTCTTGTAATTTTTTTTTATCGTAGTAAAAATTGCAATAGTTATACACGGACGCCTAATTTGAAATGATTCACATATATGTTATGCTCTTTATGTGTACATAAAATTTATCTTTCTTATACTTCAGTTCCTTTTGTTTTTCACATTTTACTGATCTTGGTTAGGTGTATGCACGTGTCAAAATCGAGCAGCCTAACCATTAGGCCAAGAAAAAAATCAAAGAAAAGTGATCACATGATACATAATTATATGTACATATATATATATATATATATTAGTCTTGAGTGATATGCTGCTATTATTCTAGCAGAAGGTACAACCTACTTTTAAAAAGGGAAAATAACGAAAGTTTAAATAGATAATTTAAGATGCAGGAAAAAAATTATAAAATTAACTTTGTGTTGAAAAGTTTATTATTAATGTATCAATATTTTTTTTAAGTTGCACTGAAATAAAATTCTCCCATTTAAAAACAGCTTCAACATCTATAATGGTTTAATTCTAGCATGAGTTGAATATGTGGTTTGAACAATTCTATGCATTATCAATATGCATAAGGATCTGAGAGTGTTTTCTAGGGAAAAAAGATTTATTATCAGTGGAAAGAGAAACCATTGAATTTAAAAAATAGGAAAAAGAACATTGAACTCAGAAAAGTTTAACCATTACTACTTCACTTCTCAGGCATTATGTATAAATAACTGCCTCTAATTGAATACATGGGGGTGGAGCTCATACATTAATACAATGTATACAACATAAATGGCATAGAAGCAAATAAACTCATCAAGTTACAAGAACAAAAAAAAGCCCTAGAAATTAATCACAGAGAGGAACTGAGATTATTCACATATACATAACAGGCCCCTCCCCAAACTTTAGAAAATTAAGGATTACAAGAAAATGGAATCGCATTCGCATGCCGTGACAGGATAGCGTTCAAGGGAAATCAGGTGTCACTCCAATCGTCACCATCATCGCTCCCAACAGCCTGATAAGTATTTAAACAAAAATTTAAGAGATGATAAGCAATTGCAAAGTAACAAGAAAACGGAGAGGAAAAAAAGAAAAGAAAGAAAAGCTCAAGAGAAAATGCGGAGAACCTGGCGAATTGCATTTGCCTTACGCAAAATTGCTGTGACTTTGATATCGGAAGTGGGACCAGGTGTAACGGTTGGCTTTTCTGTCACGGTAGGCCTCAGGCTGAATGACTGGAATAATACAACAGATATGGCAAGTGAGCTACAAAATATCAAACTTCATTCTCTTGCAGAGTGCTAATTTCAAAGTTTTAGCAACTGAGAACTCAAAAGACTCGTACACACAAGTCCATCTTGATAAATACTGAATACTAACCATCCGAGTAAGGGTATTTTTGGTATTTTTACAATTCTGTCTTGTTGCCCTAATACTATGTATTTATAGTTGAAGTGTCACATCTCTCTATATTGTATTGCAACACCTTTCTGATATAACGTAAGCGCAGTGACTGAACATAACACTATTATGGGGTAAGCCACTGCTCGCATCATTGCTTTTGGTGACTAGACGACTAATTAAATACACTAGAAAATAAGCTAGCTTAGCATGTGCCATCCTTGCATTTTCAATTCCATTAATTCCAAAATTGGAAAATTTAAACAGTTGCCTGATTGATCTAATTTATTATTATTGTGGTTGTCATTGTCATTATCACCAATACATAGCACAGATTGTCCTTTCTCCATACCAATCCAACACACCATCAAAGTGACATCAAATTCACTTAGATTACGAAAGCTATGAATTTAAATAAATAATGGACACTCACTTTTGCTCTAATCTGATGCAAAAAATCATCCTTTTCATCAATGCCCCTGCCATTTGTAGCATGGCTCACTTCGTTCTGCCCTTTTGGTTTCTGCCACTCTGGCTGCTGGATGCATAGAATACAATATTCAGTTATTTATCCATTTAACTGATGTTGATAATACAAAGGCAGTACCCACTTCTTGCTATAATTTATTAAGGCTGTGTTTGGTTGAAGGATTAGAGAGGTGATTTGTGGAGGGAAAGGAAAAAGGAAGGAAGAGGTGAAAGAAATAAGCTAAATTTTTATCTCTTTTTCTTCCGCTTTTCCTTTACTTTTACAAATCCCTACTCAAATCTTGATCCAAGCACAGCCTAAATGAACAGAAAGTATGCAGGTAAAATGACATGTTTACCTTGCTCTTTCCCGTGAATGCAATGGCCTCATCAGTATCTTCTTGTTGCTTAACCGGGCTTGATACTGATTTTGGAGAGATGGTAGATCCCAAAATCTTCATATCAAATGCATGATTAAGGGCTTCAGGCACAGATTCTCGTTTGCCAATGGTCAAATCTGAATGGGAATTCATAACCCGCCATTGCAATGGTGGGAGAGGTGGAGGTAGTGGTGTAGGCTCCTTAGGAAGGTGTGACTCAGACAAATCGTTTGCATCAGAACCATTTTTCATCTCTTGCTCAAATAAAGGGTTCAGATTGCTCAAACTTGGAAGATCAAGTGACTGACCAGACTGACAGGGTTCAAGACAACTTCCAACATATGGACTCTGAATTCCATAATCAACATGAAAACTTCCATGTCTGGTTCTCTCAAGCTCCATAGAGTCTGAAACAGATTCTGTGGATGAAATTCTGCGGAAAGCATCATATAGCTCGGTGTCCTTGCTAGGGGAATTATCATCAGATTCCCACTGATTTGAATTTGAATCGGAGTGATGGCTAAGACAATCATCTGACATATATGGAGATGATCTACAAAATGTGTCATCATCAGAGTCCAAACCAATGTCACGCAGTGGAGTAGCAGGCTCTGGGATCAATTGAAATGAAGGTAACATATCTCTACTGCTGTCATGTCTACCGCTGTCTTGTCGAAAACTCCCATCAGGAAATTTCAGTTTTAGTTTTGAAGTCTCGAAACCATTTATAGGCTGGAATGATATCTTCATATGTTGAAGTGGTGGTGAAGAAGAGGGTGAAAATATAGGAGACTCACTTCCAAAATACCCCTTGAAAGTTCTCTCAGATGTTTGATATGGAACACTTGGTTTCCTGCTCTTCTGTTCAGAAACACCAGTTTTCCCGGTGCTAGGAGTTTCAGATTTCTCATCATGGGCAAGTGATACTTTTCTTTGAAAACTATTTACAAGAAATCTATTGTCAAGTCCAAACATCTGAGATGCATTTTTGCCATCTGGAGTGACTGTCTGCTCAGTCTCAGGTGCTGCTGCACTGGCTTCACTCAAATTACACTCACAATTATCATTAAATCTATCAATTGGTTGAGAATCAACATACTTTTCATGTTTGGCATCTATGTCAGTTGGTGAAAATCTCCATGATTTTTTATCAGAGATCCCATCCTTATCATTGTGGCATGATGTGGAGCATTTGGAAGAAACATGTTCAATGCTTTTAGAGCTCTGAACCAACTTATCCGGATTTCCTGCATCTCCTTCACCATTAACAATATTACTTTGGCTTGAAGCACTGACTACTTCATCTTTACTTCTGGTCACAGAGTCCTGACTTACGGCTACACTGAAAACTGGAGGCTTTGATGGCTCAAGTCCTAGCAGGCTTCCATTTGTCCAGAACTTAACTGACTGAACACAAAGAGGTTCAGTGGGAGACTTCTGTGATTCGCAAGAAGTGCTTACGATATTCTCACTTATTGGAGCGTTTGGATTGGGTTCTGAGGAGCCAGAGTACGGTAAATTGCGGATGCCAGATTCTACATTTGAGCCATTAAGAACGTCATCATTTTCACAGAAGTTTATACCCAGAGAATTGCTGATATCAGATGATTCTCCCACCATTTGATGTGATTCTTCGTTGGCATAAAACCGTGAGGAGATGGAGTTGGGTTTATCAGAGGACGTTACATTGTTTGTGTTACTGAAATCTGCAGTGTGAGATTCCAAGTTTGGTGGTTGAAGGTCTGAATGATCAGCTGCAAGCCCATGCACGCCATCTTCTTGTGTTCCTTCTTCATTAAGATTGGAAGATTTCTTCACTTCTCGTTTCGTTTGGCAATCTAAATCAGTTTCGGATTCTGATTCAATAGTGTTAAGTGCGTCCACATAATTGTCTATTTCACTTTCAATATCATCAAGCTGGTTCCGACCAGAGATTGGTGTTGGTGTATCTTCATTGTCAAACTGAAAATCCATTTGATCAATACTTCTGAAGTTAGCAGCCTCCTCCTCTTGAAGATCTTGGTTAAAGTTCGTTGTCAGCATCTCTGTAGACTCATCATGATCATACTGGTGACCCGTAGTCTCGACTATTTCTGTCTTTTCATCCCAAGTAACAAAAGATGAAATTGGGCCAGTTTGGTCCTCTGATAAACTATGTGCAAAGTCATCATCTACAACTCCACTATGTTCATCAACACTAGCTGAATCAACGGTTTCATTATGGTGTATCCTTAAACAAGATAAGGATGATTCTTTAGGCTCATGTTCTTCAGGTTCCATGGAGTAAGTCGGATGGAAAACACATTCTATATAGCCTGTCTCAGTTCTTGAATCAGAAGAATTTGATTGGCCTCCTAGGTCAGATTTCAATGCAACATCAGTTGTGGAGACAGACTGAGAAGGAGAAATATGCCCATCAACTTTTAGAGAAGTTAATTGACTCCTGCATGGTCAGATAAACAAAAATCTTACTTTCATCAGATGCTAGACCAACCATTTTCTACGCCAATGTGGACACAAATGCAAGTAATAAAATACCTGTCGCTGCGGTTGGATATGGATGCACCACGAGACGCTTCATTCCTCTGCCATGTTCTTTTTTTCTGCTCATTTTTTACATCCTCACATTAGAACATGGTTCTATCAAAACCATAGAAGTAATAATTTTACAAAACATAGTATAATAACCATAGTCGAAAGAAATCATTACAAAAAATAATTAATTTCATGATTTTTGTTTTTAACTGTAACAGCATGTCCAAAGAGCAAATCTACCAGGAAAATTTGTCCAAAATAATTATTATCTACAGAGCTTTAAAGTAGTCATTTTCATGAATTTTCAGAGTGAACTAATAACCAATGATATCTCTTAACTAGCTTGTATGGATGGAAATTTCTCATGATGGTTAAATTTAATGGTTGAGTTTCAACATTACAAGACATACCTTGCTTCGACGAGCCTTCCTATCTTTTGAGATTTTCTCAACACTTGCTTCACCAGAGCTAGCTGATGCTCTCCTAAAGAAGGTTGGATCTGTGTATCTCTTTAAACAAGATCCTGAGCCACCAGTGTCAAATCTGAAAGACAAAGCTGAAGGTTTAAGCATCTAATAGTTAACTAGTATCAGGAATAGAACTTCAAAACTGAACCATACTTGTCAAGCATGTTCAAGCGTGGAGGATCACGACATTCTTCATAGGAATCCATAATAAACTGTGGCAAGTCACCATTAAATTGATTTTGTCCATTTTCAAGACGAGCATGCCATACAGAACCTGCAAAACAGCTGCTATCCATAAAGGACTTGAATACTGGGAAAAAAAATTAATGTAGTACAAAGGAAACTTCACACTGAGGACAAATGGGTACCTACAAAATCAAGTCAACCATAATTAAATCTGTAAGCAAGCATTAGATTTAAAAGTTGAACCAGTTTATATAAACAAACAAACAAACTTAAATCATGAAAACAAAATGTATCATCCAAATGATCACCTTGTATGGACCAAATGTGGTTATTGAAAAGAAAAAAAAGACGAAATTTAGCCAAAACCCCTCCATTGAACCCTTGTTTGGTGAAAAGGACATCTCAATTTATTTTGCTTCATAATCCCCCAAGGAGCAGGGGCATAATTGAGTAAGGACAGAATAAAATTTCTTTTTTTTTCTTGGACAATACTGCCCATGCACATATATATATATTATATATCATAGAACTCTTTTAATGAGGAATACTTTTATTTTATTTTACACAAATTTAAAAATGTTGTGTATGTGTATTTTTAGTTGGTTCATCTATATATTCTGTTTTTTGTAACCGTAAAATGTTACTGTGAACCAACATGTTACTATCAAACAGAGTAACATGTTACTGTTTATGTCAATTTTGACGATATTTTTTTTTTAAATTTATTTTTAAGAATTTCATAGTCAATATGGATCTTGTTTGATAGATCTTAATGAGAAGATTCTAAAAATATTAATTTTATTATAAACCGACATTTAGATCAAAAGTTATATTATTTTAAAATTTAAAATAAATGAAATAAAAGTAACAAAAACAGCTCCAAAAGTAACTTTAGGTCACTGATTTACCATACAACGGATATTTGTTCCAATGGATGACTTGAAGCTTTCGTTTTGTTTAGATATCCTCAAATAAGTTTAAATCAACTACAATCCAAGTCAACATCTTCATCTCCTTTTTATTTTCTATGGTCAAAATACTTATTTATTTATTCTCTCTCTCTCTCTCCAGAGTTTGCAACCATTTTAGCTACTGACATAATTAACAACAGAGTTAACACACCCACGAGAACCCCAAAAAAATAGTTTGCCAACTGTGTTAATGGCTAACAGGCATTTATAGAGCTCAATGGAGATGCTTATCACAGGATGGTTAAGGAAGAAAAGATAATCATGATTAAGTGGCCATATGTGCACATGTTTAACATACATGGCTATAAATTAGAAAAGCTCAGAGAACGGTGGGTGGCGAAGGGGAATGAAACCATTGCTTATAAATAACCCCCCTCTCTAGCAGGCTCTGTATTGCTTTTGATCTCAAATTCAAATCTTGCAAGAACTCTAGCTCAGCTCAGCTCAGCTAGAGTTTGTTTGGTCATCATTTCATCGAATAAGAACAAGAAGAGCTACCTAATCCTCAGTCATGAGTAGAGAAACTCTATTGTCTTCCACAAACAAGCTTACACATGATTTAGACACAAAATATCTATCTATAAACAGAAATAAGTACTGGAAAGATCGAATCACAGATGCATGAGGCATACCAGCTGTGTAAGCAAAATGGAGGTGGCTCTTCTGGGCCAGTATGACTTTCTCAAGTGGAGGAACTGCAGCTTCAATGCGTTGTACGCGAACCATCAATTTATGGCTTCTAGAACATGTACTCATCACTTGCTCCTGTAAGCCATGGAAGACCTCTGCAGCAAATCTACCACATGTAGAAGATGTCACCTCAGTAAAATATTGTAAGGTGTTAAAAAAGAAATAATAAATATAATAAAATAAAAGAAACAGAAAAAAACTTGATGAGTGAAAGTTATTACAAAGATTTGAAACAAACAAAGTCATTGTACTAAAAATGACGCAATTTCTCACTGTGCGTAATTGGTTCATTACAATTTACATGCCAGATTGTATCAAGTCATTGCCTTATTCGCAGTTATTGCTCAACCACGATTCTCCACGAGCTGGCTTCAAAAAAATTGCCAGAATGTATCAATTCAAGATTGTAGCTCGTGGCATTTGAGTACTTGCTTACTACAAAGTGTGCAGCATAAACAGACATGCCACACCATGCTATGATAACCTCTAATGGGAGAGACACAGGTGAAAATCTAGATAAAAGCTGATGCCATTTAAATACATCACACACATAATGAGGCCATTGTAGTTTGGCAAGGTTAGATGCCAACTAGAGAAAAAAGAAAAAAGCTGCAGAAGAAGTCTCTTTTGGGAAAATAAGTTTCTTGAAAATGTGTCCCCATCATGTTGGCCACTACACTATGTGCCTAGGCCACACGTGCATTCTTAACTTGTTCATAACTACTTCCTAAAGTAATGAGGAAAAAGTTTGTCTCTCCCAATTTGCATAAAGTAGTGTTCATCATCCTTCTTTTCCTCCTCTCTTGTCTCTTTTGCTCTCCATCTTCACCAACCATGCTCTTCCACACAACAAATAGGCCTCTATTACTCCATTTTTAACAGCGTGCCACCACCATGCAATGCACATCATGTCACAGCTACCAGCACTACAAACTGCATACAATTAGAAGCAACCATTGAAACTCCTTTATTACCACTTTGTACAACATGACATAGGTACCACCATCACAATTCCCACTTTTCTGCCAAAATCAACTCCAACAACATGCGGCCACTACTACCACAACATGCGGCCACCACTACCACCACCCCCTGCCCCTATGGTAGCATGCTACATCAAACCACCACCGTTGCCACTAACATATCACAATCTTTTGCCCGCTGTCAGCACCATGATGTGAGTTAACACTTGCAAGCTTTTAGTAGTCCTGGATAGCTAAGGATTGCTTATGGCTTTGTCTGTGATGATCCAAGGGATGTGCAATGGTTTTTATGAATTTTGCTAAAATAGATCAGGATTTTTTGCTTATCAAGAAAAAGTTGTTCTTCCAAAAATAGCTTACATGCAATTTTGGGCCGCAATGGGTAGAAGCTGAAATTGAAAAAAATTAAAAAGAAGAAAATCAAAGGAGATAGAGCCAAACAATTACCATATTGATCAATGGAACCTTTTAGATTCAATACTCACTCTGGCACCATAAGTGAAAATCTTCAACAAACAAGACTAACTAGCAAGCAATATGGACTATCTTTGATTTCCAAATATGTCTTTTGTGGGATATCGGGATAAGTAATACCTAGGTTATTGGATGGGATTATATATATGTTTGGAGTACTTGTACCATGTTTGATTAGGGTTGGATGAGCCTGTTTGCTCCAGCTTATCAAAGCTAAAATTTGACAACCTATGAACTGAATTTGAACTCACCCTTCCCCTAGCTTCATGATAACCTGATTTTTTTTTCAACTTATTTAAGCCACTTTTGCCGTGGAAGCTGTAAACATAAGCTACAAAAACAGTCTCATACAAAATCTCAAAATAAAAAAGCCATAAGCAGCCCATTTAAGTTGTAGCCTGTAACAAACAGGCCCAATATAGCATGGGATAAAAGGGACCTAGATGTTGGATGGAAGATGGCATCTAATCCAATGGCACCAAAATGTGGGCCTCACATTTTTCTAATCCCCAAACCTCTCGAATCCTCAAAAGAAATGGGTCCATATGTCATAGTTGGACTTCAGCTCAAACTCATGAAAATAAGGGGTTGTTAGGCTGTGTTACATATTTTCTGTCTCCGGTTTTTAGAAAACAGAAAACATTGTTTTTTTCCCATGACAGTTCAAATCAAAGTATGAATGGAACTTTGTTTAATATTCATCTACGTGTTTTCGCTTCTTATTGAAATCCCATTATCATCATCCCTCGACTAGTAATCCAATACCACCATGGCCACCGCTACTGTTTCAAACTAGACAATATTAGCTAATACATATAAGCCACTCGTTAAGCTGGCAAGTGAGGATATAAAAAACTAAGAGCATTCTAATTTCTAGTACTTCCAGTAACACAGTTATTGTCTTCCCCACCCAAATTTGGCCTGACATAATTTTTCCATTTTACTCCAATAAATCAATTATTACTTGGATGAACCCACATACTCTTCACCAAGATGCCAAGACACTAACTAGTGTCCATAACCCACAAAAGACCTTTCAAATTGTATCAGAGACCAAGATGCCAAGACACTGACTAGTGTCCATAACCCATAAAAGACATTTCAAATTGTACCAGAGGTCTGATTGAAGCTTCTATTTTGTATTTCACTACCATATTAACTGGGAAATGAAATCATTCAAACTAAACTTCTTAATTTCTGAGCTTTTCCTTAATTAGGAATGAATTCATGTTTCATAGGCATCTCCAATCCTTAACTCAAACCTATATCAAATTTAGATTTGGGTAAAAAAATAACTCAAAATCCTCTCCACTCCTTCGAGTTTTACCCAAATAAAAGGAGACTTTTCAAGATAATTTTGCACCTTTCAAATTTACAAGTCTGCCATTACTACAGATTTTACTGATTTATATACTTAAATCTGAGTATGTCCATTGGATTGTTTCATATCAAAAAAAAGTTTTAACACAAATTTTTACTCAAATTTGAGTAAAATTTTGAAGAAAGGCTAGAGATGGTCTAACCCACTACACACAAGTGACAAACTATTTCATTAAACTACAAAAATTTCATATATGCATACATGCATATACTAATTGCTCATATCCCCCAATCAGTTGCTTCTCTCTGACCTTGTTTTTTGCAATCAATGAACAAAACCAAAAACCCAAAATCACAAATGACAAAAATATATAAACAAATTGAAGCATTAAAAGGCCATAACACACTATGCCCAAATTAGGGGGAGGGGGGGTAGAGAGAGAGAGAGAGTGAAGAAAATTTTAAAAATTACTCGGCAAGATCGCCCAATTGACGCAAGATCCCAACAAGTCCAGCAACTGCAACACCATCGAGCACGGCTTTCGGATCTTCACCATTTGCTTCTCTGTACAGCTCGGGCTGTCCCAAGCCGTACTGGTTCTTCACCTGAACCCGGACCAGAGGCATTCTCTCTCTCTCTCTCACACACACACACTCTCTCTAGATTTGAAGAAGATAGAGAGAGAGGGGTACAAACAACAAAGACCCACTTAATAAATTAACATGAATGAACGAACAGAGACATTATGAGTGCGAATGAAATGAAGAGAGAGAAAATGGGTGCTTGTAGAGAGAGAAAACGAGTAGGTGAAGGGATGGGAGCAGCTTAACTGCCGAGAGCGATATAGAGAGAGAAAGCTGAGTAGAGTTATAGATACATTATATATATGTATATGTGTACTGGGTTTAAGATAGATTATGATATAGAGATCGAGGTAATCGAAGAGGACATTGCCAACTCTACAAGCCATTCCTCCATTTTTGAGAGAGAGAGAGAGAGAGAGGAGAGAGAGTGTGTGCGAAGGGGATCATTGTATTCATTTCAGTGTGATTGTGAAAGGACGACAATGACCTTGGTGTTTGGGCGGAGTGACTTTTTAGTCCGGGAATTTGTGGGTTGGTTTGTTGTGAAATGACGAATTTGACCTTGGTATTTTAATGTTTTGCTGAGTTGGAGGAGTGGTTTCCCAGCACTTTTTCTCATGTCGTTTCTGACAAATGTAAAAATTTCATTTATAATTTTAATTATAGTAATTTCTCTTACCGATATTTTTTTATTTTTTTTATTTTGTCAAATTAAAACAAATAGTGTTACTTTCTTATAGTAAATGACCTTATTGTCATTCTTTTTAAAATAATAAAAAATGTTTTTGAATTGAAAGACGAGTTTGGAAGAAAATGACCTTACTATAGGAAGGAACAGTGTTTTTGGATTTCTTTTTTTATTTTAAATATATAACTTTTATTTAAATATTTTTAAAAATTATTTTAAATATTTTATTTTATTTTGTAAATATTTTAATTTTAATATTTTAAACTCAAAATACAACTCCACACTTAAATTATAACCAAACACATAACTCAAAATTCAATTCAAAAATTATTTTCAAATCTCATAACCAAACACATAACTCGAAATTCTATACTATTTTCAAAACTCTACAGACAAATCGTAGTCAAACACATAACAAAAAAATTAAAATATTTCAAAATATATTTATAAAATAAAATAAAATATTTAAAATAAAAATTATGTATTTAAAATAATTTTTTTAATTTTTTTAATATTTTAAAAATATTTTTAAAAAATACAACACATAAATATATGAAATATAGTGCACACTAAAATAAATAAATAAATATTTAAAATATTTTAAAAAATACCCTAAAAAAATAAATCTAAAAAATTTCAAAATATAACTTAAAACTTATAACCAAATAAATTTTTTCTTTTTTGGAAAAAAAATTCTTTTAAAATAATATCAAAATTTTCAAAACTTATATCCAACTACACAACTCAAAACTCAATCCAAAAATTATTTTTTTCAAAACTCATAACCAAACACATAACTCAAAACTCAATTCAAAACTCAAAATCAAACTTTTTTTCAAAACTCTATTTTAAAAGAAAAAATTTTAAAAAATATTTTTTTATTTTATTTTTAAAAATTATTTTTAGAATCATGATTTGAGTGTGGAGTCGTATTTTGAATTGTGAGTTTTGAAAAGAAAAAATTTGTTTGATTATAAGTTTCCAAAGAGTTTTAAATTGTATTTTGAAATTCTTTGAATTTATTTTTTTAGGGTAAATATTTTACATTTTAAATATTTATTTTAATGTGCACTATATTTCATACATTTATGTGCTTTATTTTTTAAATATTTTAAATATATTTTTTAAATTAAGAAATTTTATTTTTTTATTTTAAATATTTTATTTTATTTTATAAATATATTTTTAAATATTTTAACTTTTTGTTATTTGTTTGGTTACGATTTGAGTGTAGAGTTTTGAAAGTAGTATAGAATTTCGAGTCATGTGTTTGGTTATAAAGTTTAAAAATAATTTTTGAATTGAGTTTTGAGTTATGTGTTTAGTTATAACTTGAGTATAGAGTTGTGTTTTGAATTTAAAATATTAAAATTAAAAAAAATCAAAATGTTTACCAAAATAAAATAAAATATTTAAATAAAAATTATATATTTAAAATAAAAAATAATTTTTTTTAAAACATTTTTTAATATTTAAAAAAAATAAATTCAAAAAATGTCATTTTGTGGGTCAACAAAAGAATAAGAACAAGGGTAGCATCGTCTTTTTGTGCTTAAAAGGAAGGGTAATAAGGTTATTTATTCTATGCAAATAGTACCCTTTGCTCTAATTTGACGGAATGGGAGAATCTGGCGAATGTCAGGTAAAGTAAGAAAGATTACTATAATTATTAAAATTATAAGAAAAGTCTCTTTATTTGTTAGAAATCTCAGGGGAGGTCATTGTAATTTATCCATTTTGTGGGTCAACAAAAGAATAAGAGCAAGGGTAGCATCGTCTTTTTGTGCTTAAAAGGAAGGGTAATAAGGTTATTTATTCGGGAGCTTCTTTTTACACACACTAAATCCCCTCTCCACACACACTTAATGAAGGAGGTGTGTGGGAAGTGTAGAGAGTGGAGATGTGTAGAAAGTGTGTTGTGTGTGTGTAAATAGAAGCTCCCTATTTATTCTATGCAAATAGTACCCTTTGCTCTAATTTGACGGAATGGGAGAATCTGGCGAATGTCAGGTAAAGTAAGAAAGATTACTATAATTATTAAAATTATAAGAAAAGTCTCTTTATTTGTTAGAAATCTCAGGAGAAGTCATTGTAATTTATCCAATTATTTATTATAAAGGCCTGTTTTGAGAGAGAAAAAAAAAGTTAACTTATTCATTTATTTTTTTATTCATTGACATATTTTAAAAAATTATGCCAAAAAATAAATAGATAATGTGATTTAAATAAGCCAATTCTTAAAATGGCCCAAAATCATAAGGCATCTTCCTCATTAAAATAAATTAAAACCTGCTTCATCCTTCTTTTCTTTTTTAAATTTTAAATTTAATGTGCTTGCGTATACCTTGACTAACAACCCTACCCTTTCCTTCTCTCAATTTTTGTATATTGAAGGTATAGTGGGATGGGCATTTGTTGGGCCGAGCTGGCATTATATAGGGATAAAGCTTGGGAGCTCAATTGAGCTCCCTTCGAATCCCCCGAAAATGGAAAGAGAGAGAGAGAGAGGGAGATAAGCCGTCGCAGCAGCTTGGCCGATCGTCGGCTGATCGCCGATTGTCGCAACAGCTCAGCCTCCGTCTCGCCTCCGCCGCGCCTCCGCCCCTGATTTATGCCCCCTCCTGTCCAGTTCTCCCTTCTCCCTTCCCTTCTTCTTCTTCTTCTTCTTCTTCTTCATTTCTGATTCAAAAGAAAAAAAGAAAAAAAAAAACTTTGTATTTGTTCAAGCTCAACTTATATCTGTCTAAGTTCAATCTAAAAATAATTAAAAATTTCAAATTCACTCATCAAGTTATATTTAAAAAAAAAATAAAATATTTTATAATTATTCAATCACACATTATATTTATTAAATAAATATACTGAAATCTTTATAAATTGAAAGATTTTGTATATAAATTGAAGAGTTTCTCAAATAAATTCAATCAAATATCACCACAAATATGGATTTCAATAAAATCAATAAAGATAAAATTTAGATCCCAATAAAAATATATATTTTAATATGTTATAATTTATTTATTTATTTTATATGGATTCGAATTGGGTCGGGTTGGCCGTGTTGGGTTGGTTTGGGTTCAAAATATAAATTTCAAACTCAGCTTATTAATATATCGAGTTGAAAATGTTGACTCAGCCTAATCCTATGGGCTAAAACAATCTTTCCAAACCTTAAATAAATAGGACAAGGAAAGGCAGGACAAGCCAACGGGCTGATGCCCACCCCTAGTGTATTGCCATAAGTATCTTTTTATTGAGAAAATGAGTGAAACATCCATTTCTAACTTTCTAATATATTTTTTCTTATTAGTTAAAGTCTTTCAATAATATTGTCACAAATAAATTTCTTTGTGAAAAAAGAAATTTTTCTGTGAAGAGTTGGAAATTTTTTTGTGAAGAGTTGAAAATTTCTCTGTAACTCTATGAAAATATTGAGGGCTCTTAACTATTATAAAAATTGTTACGTGCCATTTATCTTATAAAATTCTAATATTAGGGACTTTAAACTAAAAATCTCATTTTTCTTTTGTGATCCACGTAATGAGAGATCTATTATATTTATATGGGAAAATTTCACATCAATATACAACTTCAAAAATAATTGCAAATTAATGATAAATTTTATCAATATTAATAATTAAAATTATAAAATTTCTCATACATATGTAATAATTTTTTGAAGATCCCACTGTGGGATAATATGCCCTATTTATATCATACTATTTATATGAAGGGTTTGGTTTCTCTTAAGTTGGACATCTCAACTTGAGAAAGCGTTTGGGATTATCGTCCATTTTTTTTAAAAACAAATATAATTATCGATGTCTAATTATTTTAATTTTTTACATGAATATTCTATTTAACGAATCCTAAAATGGAAACGATTTGGATCATCGAAATTGTTCCCAAAATGAGCGTACGAAGCTCAAACACTTTCTCAAGTTGAGATGACAACTTGAAAGAAACTAAACCGTTATATTAATACTTTTTTTATTTTATATTATAAAAATCCCTTATATTAATACTCGGGTCATCTTAAGCTCCTACTTATATTTTTATTTTGATTTGAGTAAAAGTTCTACTTGATATAGAGTATTCTAAGGTTATGTTTAGTTTTCATAATTAAGTTGAG